GACCACACTCCAGTCCTTGACGCCTGTTCTGAAAAAGAGGTTGTAGTTGTGTATTGTCTTTTTCCTCTTTGACAATATGCATATACAAAGAAATGCAAAAAGATGAAATGTGTCAATATGGATATGTTTCAGTTTTGTCTTATTTAGATTAATTTTTTTGACTACTGCATTTTAACAGTTTTGTACAAGTGAATTTTTTTTTCACAATGTGAAATACGTATCTAATAAACAAGAGTTTTTCTCTTTGCTGTAAAATATTATCCGGCTCTCCTACATAACTAAAATGAACATGTCTTGTTTATGGTATGAGGTTCTTCACAGTTGATTTTTGTTTGAACATTTTTATTATAGTGGTTATAATTCGTATCAGCTTGACACACATTCCTAACCGAGTCACATGTAAGTGTGAGAGTATTTTCTCATAGAATTATTTTGACATCCATCAAAGGAGATCGGAATGAGGAAATGAGAATCCTTCCACCCAAAGTCATTGCCACATTTTTCACATTTTTTGGCAGCTAAAGTGGAGCGTGGTGGATTTTCATTGTCCCACGGTAAATTGGATAGATTAGTAAGCGTCCTTTGTTGTGTAGCAGAGAAACTGAAATCATCTTATCTATGGGTTTTAGTTAAGCATGTCACACAAGAACAAGAGGAACCAAGCCTGGCTATTTTCCTTTTTCTGTTAAGTCACCGTGGAAACCGTGACCTTTCGCTGTGAGTAACAGAGGCTGACCCCTTATTATCGCGTTTAAACGATGATCTTTCTGAAACCGGTTTCCTGATTTCCTTTACACGTGTGGAGCCAACTCGATCTTTTCCCATGACTTACATATAGGTGAATTTTGTTTGTCCTGCTTTCACACAGCACAATGACATGTTTACATTCCTCCCAAACACAAGTTGAAAGACACCAGTTATACTGGCTCTTGAATGTTACTGCAGGTCTGGATATAACTCTTCTTCCCACAGTGTATAGATGCATTCAATCTTAATAAATGTGTCCAATGTGGACTGAGGAAGATTCAAATGATCATGACCTTGTGTCGATTTCCAGTTCAAATCACATGACTGGCAGAGTCATATCACTGTTGGGTCCTTGAGCAAAGACCCTTAAACCCATCTGCTCCAAGGACTGGCTGATTCTGCTCTGGCACTCGTCCTAGCATCTGCTTAATAAGTGTTTTTGAACCCAATCCCCAGGGAACCCCAGACGGTCCAGGTTTTTGCTCCCTCTCAGCTCCCTGCCAGACGGTCCAGGTTTCTGCTGGGAGAGAGCAAAAACATGTACTGTTTGGGGGTCCCTGAGGACCAGTTCAAGAAACGCTGTGCTGAATTATTTAAAAATAAGCACTGTTAAAAATGAAATAAAATGTACAATTATGGCTGTTTATTGTGCACCTGCACAGAGAGAAAGATGAGTTTATGACATGTGAAGGAGAATGACCTATCGGAGCGAAGATGGGGGTACCTGCACGAATGGGAATTGTGGGAAGGGACAATCCGCGAGCGCAATGGTTTGTGTGACCCGATGACAGAAACATCATTTATTAAGCAGCGGAAGCAAGAACAATCAAGGGGGGCCGGACAAACAGGCAGTTTTGGGTTTGGAGGACACAGAGCATAACTAGAGCAAAACTTCCGGGTGCGGATAAACTAAAACTGGCATGTTTATTTAGGTTTAAGTGACAGAATGTAAATCTGAAAGAAAGTGAAAGAGATTTTTGCATAGTCTGACCCTATATCTCATTTTAAAACCCATAACAAGAACAGCAAACTGTAACAAGCGATAAAAGCCTGCAAAGAGTATAAATAGCTTTATCAAACCTACACTCACCCAAATCTAATTCTAATCTGCAGAAAAAAATGTCAAGGCAAAACAAACCTTACCGAACCAGAATAACTGTAAGTGCAATACAATGGCAAGCTGTCTGATTGGTCAACATGACACTAAACTTGTATTCAAACCCTTTATGATTCAAATTCTTTAGCATGATGGATTCTTTGAACAGGACTAAGCTGCGCTTTATTAATTTTTGAATGAATGCATGACAGAATGAAATGAGTCACAATTCTGAGGGTATTGTCACCGCACAGCCAAAAGTAGATGCCTCCTTTCTAAGGTATCCAAGTTATCCTTGGTATTGAAGCATACCCAACAATGGCAGTTTAGCTAAATGCTCCAAGGGTAAAAGGAAACACCTCTAATAATGATAACCATTGACCAAAACAGGGTACTAAGAACAATAGACCTATCACGTGGCACACTGTACTGTTGCCAAGCAACAGTGAACTCCATTTTATTTATTCATACCAAGCTCAATATAAGCAATTCTTGAAAATCCTGCAATTCCCCTACCCTCCAGAGTTTTATCAGAGCTGCAAAATTCTGTATTTACAGTCATTTAACATAATATACTTCCCTGGATATTCAGAGTCATACTGCACATTGACAAGAATGAAGGCATTTCATTTCAAGCTTATTGTTGGACAGGAAATCCAAGGCTTATGCAAATTTCTGGAACGCTTGATTGGGATGAACCGTGACAGTACACACTGAGCATCCTGGTGGCTTTGGCTTTCTCAGCTCGAAGGCAAATCTCTTACTGTGAGCAGAACTCAAAGCCCCATGTGCATTGTAATAAAGACCAGATTAAATGTGATCAGGGCTTTGGTGCCTCTGCATCGGGCCTAAAATAACACTGGGACACCAAATGTGTCCTTCTGCGATTGGGCTTCGAAACGGATCGCCTCGTGCAGCCGATATTTCCATGAAAAATTGGTATTGGGTTTTTTAAAGAGCCGAGTGCCTGCTTCTGCTGCCTCAGCCATAATGCGTATAATAACACTGGAAGCTTCTGGAAATGCCTTCTTCTGTTGATCATCGGCCGAAATGCGATGAAGGTGCGGAGCTGTCTAGAATTTACTCCGCACTTTATACTTTGCCGAGGCACTCCATGTGCAGGATACTTCCTGGGGCTTCACCCAGCAGGAGCTGACTTGTGCCGCAATGTCCAGTTCTGCTCCAGCTCATTCTATTCACACAAAACCAGAAAGAAGATTTCATGACCTCTTCTGCCATACAGGAAAAAAAAGGTTATTAACATAGTTTTAATTTCTTTAAAAGCCAGCTTTCTCTTATGTGTTCAGAAAATGAATTTACACAGCAAGAGGCACAATGTCAGTCACTAAAATGTCTTCATTTTAGCCACTGCTATAGTATATGTACTACAAACTGCTACAGATTCTTGAAATAAGTATGTATCGCAACACAAGGGAATCCACAGTCTTAGAAGCTGGAACCTGATGCTGATTTGGAAATGTCTCAAGAAAGGGGGAATGCAGTGGGGGGGGAGGGTTCTTCTAGCCGCGAGATTCCCAACCCCTGGTCTGACGGACGTTGTGTCACAGCAGTCATCATGGAGAGGAAGTGAAGGCATTTCCTATTGCCTCTCCCTGATCCCCTACCAGCCAGGATGTCCTCTATTATCAGAGCATCCAGAACTTGAGAGCATCTCAGAAGCACCTCCTGCACCTTGGAAGATAACAAATGAAACAGAGGACAGAAGGACAGAAGGCAGCTAACAGCGACTGACGGCTGAGAATGCCTTAATCTAGGACAAACACAGGCTTTGTTCAGTGCCTCCAGAATACAGATAAGGAATCCAGTTTCTGAAATCTGCTTAAACTTCCTGAGAGGAAGGGAGCTGGTCTACATCTGCTGGATTTCAGCCTTTCCTTCAGGCCCTGACCTCACAAGCATCGAATGTTTGCAGGAAGTCACACTCCTTGAATCATCTTTCTGAATCCTGCTCTGCTTGTGTGACTTCTGGGCAAGTGGTGGGGATGAGGATTACAGTTCCATCCCAGTGCATGACTGAGACGGCGACTGTCACTCA